TGCGAAGCTGCATTAGTCACATTCGCCACTCCCATTGATAAGATCATTTGCACTCACTGATGGCGGGTGGCCAGCGGAGTTAATCACACGTGACCAAGGTGGTGTTTGGCAGCGAAGCTCCATCCCTGTCTTAGTTGATAGTGATACCACCCCCTCACTCAGCACTCGGTTTAATTAAATTAGCTTTTTTTAGGCATTATAAATCTGTCTTTCTCTTCTAGTTAACATGTATGGGATCTTTTATCATCCTCGTCCACAGATGGCCAAGTAACTCAACCCAGACAGAGGCACCCTATTTATGAATTAATGGAAATTAGAACACACACACACACACACACACACACACACAGATCATGCACCTGTGGATCCCCTCACTTCCTTTATTGAGAGAAAACAAGGTTAGTGTGGACAAAAAAAGCTTGTTAGCACCTGAAAGATGTAGAACCCCCACACACACACACACACACACCAAGAGGGTTTAATGAATGTCCTAAAGTAGTTTAAAGTCCCGCTTTTTGTTAGAATGTTAAAACATTTCCTTCTCCTTATATTTTATAAGCACTGCACCTGATTCGGTGTTAAACTTTTAGCATCATTTGCAAGACATGTTCCATGATTTCCAAGAATTTCAAGGTTTCTCTGAAGTGAACATGAATAAGTGAACTCTTCCTCCTCCTTGAGATGCAGCCTTAGGCAATGGGAAGCTCTGCATGAGCTGTTGGAGTTCATCGAGAAATGTTTAGCATGCCTCTGCCGTCAACGAGGATCCACAAATTAAATAAGTTATTTACAAATTGAACAGCAAAATATTAGTTTAACAACTCACACAATTCCTGCAGTTTAATGCAATATATTTAAAATACTTCTGCATAGTCCCGAGCATCATGCAAAAATGTTCTGAATAGTAAGGTTTTAAGCAAAATGCATCTGTTATGAAAGGAGTGAGCATATTACATAAAAGCTGTAGTATATTGCATAAATCAGGTAAGGCTGATATATTTGATCTTAATTCAATTCAGTCTTAAGAAAATCTCCATAACGTGCACCGGAGGCATGTGAGAAAAACAGCTTTCTTCACAAATTCAAGGTAGCCTAACACTCGGTGAGTCATTGATAAACACTGTGGGTGAAGTATTCCTTTGAGACTAAGGTGTAATTCAAGTAATAAGTCACATGAACCCATTCCCAGGGATGTAGAAAAACAGGAGCAGGGCAGGGGCGTCAGAATGGGCCCAGCTGCCATCTGGTTGTCACGGTGACGGGCCCGCCTCGGCTGCAGCAGCAACATCCCCGGTCAAGAAGAGTGAGAAAGAGAGGAGGGGGATGCTGGGCGGCGGCCAGAGAGAGGACAGGGAGTTCATGCAGCAAAGAGGCGTGGTTGGATGGAGGCCAACAGGTGGACATGTTGAGTCTGAGCCGGCGGGAGGATCATCGTCTTAGTGTGAGTGTGATACTGCATCATTGTAAACACACCTACATGCACCTATTAGCACCCCGCCACAGAAATGAACTCAATAACCCCACTTGCTTACTGATACTGCAGGGTGTGCACAGGAATAAGTGTGCATTCCCATGAGAAAAGAAAAGATAGGAAATAAATAGTTCCCCTTTTCTCAAAATGTAACTTCTTTTTTTTATGGACACTTTTAACTCTACACACCTAAAAACCCTTTATTTAAACAATTTTAAAAGTAAAAAAGGCTTGTTGAACTGCTCTGAACTCATGCCTACACTATATTTCACATTGTCTAAGAGAGGTGCTGGTTTGTGTATGACTGTTTGAAAGCAATTAGGGTGAGGCTTAACCTTATCATGTTGTAAAAAAAAGCAAGGTCCTCCCCAGGGTTATTAATGTTTTCTTTAAACACTCCTTTCACTTAGAAAAAACCTGCAAAAGCATCCCTTAAACACGTCTGAAAAGCATGCCGTTAAATTGAACTTATTGAAAGTGCATTGCAGTGACCCATGCAAAAACTAAGAATTTATGGATTATATAAAGATAACAGTTTCTCAAAGTTTATTTAATTTAAAAATCAGATCCCTTACAAGACTGCAAAGCCCAGTGAAAACATGCCTGGTCCATTGGAGTGATATCAATCTGCTTTATGTATGTCTTAGCCTCTTTGATGGTGCTTAGAGTGCACTTTTTATGGTGTTTACATCATTGATACCAGGCCAGCATGTACAGTCCGTACTGCTAAATGTTGCCAACAATACAGGAAGTCTTCCCGTCTTTATGACTTCCTCCCCAGCGCAGACCACAGGAAACTCGCTGGATGTAGGATACGGAAATAGCTTTTGCTCCCAAAGCACATGTGGGAATGTTAATGTAGGCGCTATTCCATGCTCCTAAATTGCTTCCTTCCCATCGTTCATACCTATTCAAGTATATAGCAGAGACAGGTCGTAAGCTGCAACACCGAACGTGTATGGAGGCATGTAGAGGGCGAGATTTTGTGTTTTTCTCCCACCATGTTCCCCTTAGTTGCCATAATAAACAAAATAGCACAGGTGCTTTAGCTTAGGTAAACCTACTGTATGTTGACAGAGCCAATAAAGCCCAGGATTAAAGTCAGTACACTGCAAACTGCCTGTGCTAATCCTCACAACTCCCCCCCCTCTGCAGTCCTTATGCTACATATAGGGCATAGTTAATCACTGCAGACTCAATAAAGTAAGAATACCCACAAAGTCATGGTCAAACCCGATGTGAGGTCATCTAAACCGCGAATGCCACAGCCGATGCAACCATCTTTTAATGTATTTCCAGTTCCTCACCGCCCCCTCTTTCACATAGTGTACTTAGCCAAACAAAAAGCCTTTCTCTGTCTCCCCCCTTCCTCCCCTTCCCTTTCTCCCCACCACCATCTGACGCTCACTCTCGCCTCATGAGAGAATGTTTGTCGTGATTATAGATTTGTTTCTATTACAGGCTGCATGCAAAATTAGCTCTGTCACTCCGTATAGCTGCTGAGCAAAAAAAGGGAGGCTTGAAGCGCACAAAAGTGCCACATGGAATGAGCGAGGAAGGGGAGAAGAGGAGGGTCGGGGTGGGGGACTGTGAGGCCTCTGTGCTTTCTTTTTTTTTTTTTTTCTTGAAAGCTCCCTTAAAAACCGCAGACACATGGTACAGAATTCCCCTCACAGTAGGAAGAAGGGGGGCAGCTTTGCAAGAGAACACCACACTGTCTGTGATAAACACACACACACACACACACACACACACACACACACACACGGGGAATAATATAGCCAACACACTAGAAGAAGGAAAGGGAGTGTGTGAACCAGACGCACAAACACTATACACAAAAGGCGGTGCAGAAAGAGGGGAACTTTGAAGGAGCCGACGTGCAGGCCAACGCCTCTACATGCCACACTGAAAAAACTGAAACGTTGACTTCAGTTAAAAGTATTTAGTCAGCAGATTTCACATAACTGTATTAAGTAAGTTGAAAGCCATAATACTAATTTAAATTAAAAAATGGTGGAATGTCTCGACTAAATAAAGTCGACGGTTCAGTTTTTTCACATGGAAACCTCAACACATCATCTCACCTTAATACCTCGAGGCTCTATGGGAAAGTTGAAGGTCCCACTTTCCATGGGTATTGTATGGGGGGGTATTTCGGGGGGGGGCGTTAATCCAATGTACAATGCGTTTAACTTTGACTGACATGTCCCTCGAACCCTTCCACCCTCTCCTCTCTCTGGGGCCCCTTTGAGCTCGTAGAAGGAGGGCGAGTGTGGAACTGGTGGTGGCTGACTGGGAAAAGGTGAAGGGGTTAGGTGGTGTGAATGGACCGGGTTAGGGTCTCTGATGTGGGCTTAGCGTGGACCCAATGCCCTCGAAACAAAGCTCCTGATTGGGTGATTAGAAAAGGTGGGAAGTGGAATCATTCATTTCGATCTAGATTTGAAGATAGACAAAAAATCTGTAACACATATCTTATAATTCATTTTGCTTCAAAGTTATGTAGGGTGCCAACATATTACCACAGCATGCGATCTACTACATACTTGAGGTCACAGTGGGAAAATAAAATGGATGAGGAACGCCATCTAGTGGAACATCTAGCACCTGGTCATGCTGTGAATGGAGATCAGGTCAATAAAGGTATAATCCATATTGATTAAGTTGCCATTGAGATAGTTAAGAGTAAAGCAACATCATGACATTCTTGTGATTGAATCTAACAAGCAAACCCCACTGTATTTTATAAATGGCTTCAATCAAACGGAAGAAACCACATAATGACTTGTTTTGTGTACTTATTAATGGCTTGGCAAAGTCACTAAAAGTCCTTCTGACAAAGGGGGAAATCAAGGTTTTCCATCTTGCAGAGTTAACCCAGAGACCAGCATGCTGAAAAGCTCCTTGTAAGCTAGAAAGAGGAGGTGGAAAATGTGTGTCAGCACACTGAATAGCCGCTGCCTGCATGGGAATGAGGACACAAGGAACAAAGCCTCAAGTACGTCCTTACTCTGCTTTTCCTCATCACCCTTGACATTGCATTATGAAAATATTTGCCAAATGAGGCTAAAGTTATGCCCCCCAAAATCCATGTTTGACCTCAGTAGATGTTTCCTCTCATAAGAGATGGATAATGTCATTTTAATAGTAACCACTAATGATTGATTGTCAGCGTTTCTTGTAAGCATCTGCTTTTCATGCCAGATGACAGTTTTTTTCCAAAATGAATGGGGAAACCGACCCTAAAAAATCTCAAAGAAGAATTAAATAAGCTAATTAATTTACTTTCTTGATTCCAAGTAATGACACGACTTAGTTTTTCCAACAAACACTAAAAAATTGAAAGATATTCAATTTTCCTCAGTAAAGATTAAAATAAAAAAGCTTTTTTTCGCAAAAGAGAAACGGGAAATGCCAAAGCTATATTATTCAATTGAATCTTGATCAAACTATTAAACTAATTGTTTGAACTCTTTTGATGTTTTCTGGCCTGAGACTCCCAAAAACCTTTCCTGAAACAAATTACAACCAAGATTTGTTTATTGACATAATAATCTTATAATGACATTTGTTACCATACAATATTAGATTGTTTTCTTACATAGAAATCTTAAGAAACATCACTCATTCGATCATTTTAGTTATTCTGCTTAGGAGCAGCCATTGTTTGCCAAAGAACAAAATCACAAAAAGAGTACTTTTCGAAATGTTATTGGGCTTGTTCAAGCAACCACATGACATTCCCTAGAGTCATTCCTCAGAACAGGACAGTTCTTGGAGGAAATAAATCTACTACTAGCAAATCCTCGCTAAGAATCTTTGTGGTGTTGGTGGAAAAAACATCAGACATATTAAACCCCACACTTCCACTTCCTTCATCATCCAGGAATAAATTGGAAGTTTTCATGCCACCGTCGACATCTTCACCCAAGTTGTGTTCTTTAACATCTTCTACCTCATGGTCTTCAGAACCTCTGCTCGTGTTGTCTCTCCTGAACTCAGCATGCTCAGAGTTAAAGCTCCAATTACCCACCCCTTCTTTTTGCTCCGTTGTAGCTGTAGCATTTGGAAAATACTCCTTATCAGCTGGTATCTGATACTCCTTATCAGCTGGTATAGCTGGTGTCTGGGTTGTAGCTTTGACACCACTGAACAAGGCATTTCCAAGAACATCGGCGTAGGTGACAGCCACCACCCTGGCGGGGGTCTTTGGCAGCCTGACAATGAGCGCCCTTCCAGACTCATTGGTGAATCCATTGGGCTTATTTCCTTTCACACGTGTGCCTCTCACAGTGCTGCTGGTGGAACTGTAGAGCGGGCCCATTCCAACAACTTTGGTTGGCGTCCTTGGCTCAGATTTTGGGCTGGATTCAAATGTGGGTCTTCCGTCTGATCTGAGAAAAGATGAGGACGTCATGTGTTCTAGTGCTGTCCTATTAAGATTTGCATTTCTGTTTGGAACTGGCTGGAAACCTAACAATGTGTAGATTTTGCGTCTTTTTTGGTATTCGTCCGGTGAAGTGTCAGTGCTTCCTGCTTCCTTTAAAGTTGGTTTAAGGTCTTCACTGCTTACCTCATTTTGGCTCACTGTGGATACATGGCTGCGTCTCTGTTGCAATATCTGTGGGCTTCTAGGTTGAAGAGCTTTAAACCCCTGCTGGACTCTAGCAGACTTTTCTGGATCACTAACTACAGTTTTGGCTCCCTCGAGTGGTCGAGTACTAAATCCTCTGAGAGAATATAGTTTTTTATAGTTTTTATATGGTCTTCTATCACCAGTTTTATGCTGCATAGTAGACTTTTCCTGAAATCCTGTTGTAAACCAACGGCTAGGTTTGGTTTGGACGATATCTAAAGTCCCAGGAAAAGGGTCATCTGTTAGGGTCTTCTCAAGTTTGGATGCTTGTCTCCGGCTAAAGCTAAACCTTGGTGAGAAAGAAGGGTGTATATTAGCTTCCTTTCCTTGGTCCAAGCTGTAGCTTTGAGGGTTAGTTCTTTCATTAGAGACATGGCCCTTCACACCTCTCCATGTTGGGTTTATAAATCCTCTGAAGCCATAGATGCTTTTTACGGTTGTTCCAGGTTTGTTAGCATGCTTTGATTCTCTTTTGGTCGCATCACGACTTACTGGGGATGTATCACTAACAGTTGTATTGTTACCCTGGAAATCTGCATGTGGAATAGGGTCAACACTTTGAATGGTGGCATCTTTCCCACGATGTTCAGAGATTTGAGTTATGTCTTTATATTTATTAAAATGATCCGTATTAGGACCATACTGGGCCACATTAGCATTATTTAGCAGTGGTTTGGCCTCATCAGATAGCCGTTCTACTTCCTGAGTTGAATCTTTTCTTTGTTTAACAATTGAAGCAAACCTGCTGTAAACTTGTGAATCAGAGGCCTCCTGCTGATGTGGCGGCGGGAAAGAAGCAGCAGGTCCATCACTAGTAGCTGTATGAACTCTCTCATGTCCAGAGGTCAGGGAGTTCTTGAACAGATATGACTGGAACTTTTTGTTTCTTGGCACGTCACTGCTGCTCACCGAGTTCAACTTCTGGGAAAAATCCGTATGTGGTGAAGTCAGTTTTTCTGGGCTGGGGATGCTTTTAATAACATAGTCTAAGCTGTCTAAGCTGTTGCTGACTGATGGCGGATGAGGGGCGGGTTGACTCGAGAAGCCGAAAAATTTGCTCCGTGCCCCAGATGCGGGGGGCTCATTAGCCTCTTTATAATTCCCTCTTGAAGTTGGCAGTGGAGCACTCCAATATCTAGCAGTCTGGGATGAAAAAGGAGAAGGGGAGGCATATCTGGGAACTTCTTCTTTGATGTAGGAATTCTGAGCATCCCAAACTTGTGACGGACTGGAGCTTAGATGAAAGGGACGGGAAGCTTCTTTTAGAGATGATTTTCTAATGATCACTGAGTTTGATCTGTATGAATTACCAGAGGGCGGTTGGTAACTGCTTGCTGGCCTATTTAAATCCTGCGCTGCTGGAGACTCTCTGTTATCCGGACTGTTTTGATTGTAACTAAAGCTCTCTGTAAAACGTACAGGGTTTGGCCGTTGGTAGATGATTGACGAAGCTATTCTAGAATTCCCGCTTGTCTCAGTTTCACCATTAGTCCCAGTTTGGCGTCCAGTTTGAGTTGATGGCTGACCAGTGAAGAGGGGATTCTGCTGACTGCGTGGAATATACAGTTTTCTCAGACGCTTGTGCTTCACTCCATTGTTCACCTGGGTTGTTATGTCTGAAGGAGGGAAAAAAAATGTAATTATTCGAATGCTGTTACACAGGCAAATCAACCTGTCTTCGATGTTCATTTTATAACCTCTATTTAGTTTAATATAAACCTGAAATTACTCTGCCTCAAATACATTTTTACATTGTTGAGACAGGATGCAATAAATGTCAAACAAAACCATTATCTCTTTTACATTTTTTTTTTCTTCAAATTGCCAAGAAAAATCTGTCAATACAATTCTAGCTCCACCCAACCCAATCTGCCATCACATGCCTCACGACATTTTTTTCCCTGCTATTAAAATAAGCATTAGCTCACAGAAATTGCAGACACAGCAGGATTAGCCTGGCAGATCCTGGCCTGTTTGCACTCACCTCTTGCAGCTTCTGAACACATGATAAACGACATGACAGCTGCACAGACCAGAGCAAAGGCAAACAACAGCCTGCAGGAGAAGATAAAAGAACAGGCACAGGAGTTTTTATGGTATTCATGAGAAGTGTGAGGCTGTCACTCAATAATAATCAACCCTTTTACAAGTTGTATGCCTACATGTGCGTAAAAGCGTGTACAATTGATATTTACCTTGAGGAGAGAGCAGCATTTCGTAACATGATTGAAGGATTTCTCAAGAGGTTTGAATGATAGCCAAACAAATAACTTGGAATAAGTAGTAGTAGAGTTGGCAACCCATGTGTTTTACTTGTCAAACAAGTTGGAGATCCAGGCTCTGCTGCTGGTTGAGTCTGATTGGATGTAATGCTGTGCACCTGGTCTCAAGTAACCTCTCCTCCCAGTTCCCAATTTAAAATACTTTCTTTAAATATTCAATCTCTTTTGAGTTCTGTGTATTTGTCTTTTAATACAATCATGTTTGCCTCCACTGTGAATTGTATTTTGTAAAGCCTGCTTTTACTTTGTAGAATGTGCTAGGCTAAATACAATGTTTTTTTGTTTTTGTTTAAAGTTGCACTCAAGCTGTCTTTTTTTTCAAAGAAATGCACACATGACTCACCCAAACTCTTAGGAAAAATAGCTTCAAAGTCATTTGAAACCAGATTTATTTTTGCCATATATATATTATGTAACAATATTTAATTAAATACATTCATCAAAAATAATAAATATCACATACATAAGTGCAAATAGGCCATAAATAAAACAGCTTCACAGTGTTCATCGTTTAAAGTAGCAATAAGAAATCTGAAAAGCTGACATTGTTGGCTGTGTGTGGACAGTAAGGTTTCATCATCATCATCATCATCATCATCATCATCAAGTCCATGTTGCGAATGAGAAACATTGAAAATAAATATAGTGTCACATTGTCCAGGGTCACTGAAATTGTGGACTCCTTAAAACATAAAGCCGGTCATCATGGCGATGTTCCTCAAGTCGTCATTGGTCATACAGTCTGTGAAAGAAAAACAAGAAACATTAGAAAATATGTTTACAAAATCATTGATGACTTTATAAAATAATCTGAACCCTTAAGTGGGAATATTGAACTTTATCAAAAAGCTAAATGTGGCACATTCATTGAACTTTATATTTGTAAAGTTTAAAAGCATACTGTAACTATTGGTGGAATGTAACCAAGTAGCCTACCTTTACTTAGCCTACAATGCACAGTATATATGATTCTGTTTTCTTCAAGTTTGTATCTTCTTGATCGAATGCACTTATTGTAAGTCGCTTTGGATAAAAGCGTCAGCTAAATGCAATGTAATGTAATGTATATCCATTTTAAGGAGTATTTTTAACTCCTTAGCTAAACTAACTTCTTAGCAAAATCGCTGTCAGTTTATTTTCTGTTAACCCACTCGTGATTTAACTCACCTAAATATAATGTTGTATGCTTTTATCTATACAAAATAATTTTACTTTAAAGGTCTTTCCAAATTATTTTGTGTAAAAATCAGAATGTATAAAGTAACTATAGTATAAAGTAGAAAAATGTACTTCCAAAATGTAGTAGAGTAGAATTTGAAAGTTCAGTACTTGAGTAAATGTAGGCTACATAGGCTAGTTACTTTCTACCAATGAGTATTTTTTTTATATTTAGGGTACTTTTATCTCAAGTCTGAGAACCTAGGCTACTTTCTAACCCCATTGAAGTAGTAGAAGTATAAACAAATGGAAATACTCAAGTAAAGTAGCCTACCTCAAAATTGTACAGTACAGTCCTTGAGTAAATGTACTTAAAAGTTACATTCCACCACTGTAGCCTAATGATTTGTCTCGCTGACTTTTATTTACTTCGGCAGGCCAGGCTACCACTTGAGACAGTACTTCTGAACCACAGTTTACTTACTTTCTCCGCCCCTCTGCCGAGAGCTATTCCCATTAAACAACCGCCAAACTTTCCTGAAGGACCGCCGGAGCCCCCTGCCTCTGGAGCCCGGGGAGGCGTTGCCTTCCTCGGCTGGAGTCTCGGGGAACTCCTCGGTGTCGTCACAAGCGTCTAGCCCGGGACAGACCTCTTCCTCCGGGTTATCGTCCTCCTCGTCTTCATGGTCGAGGACTCCCGAGGATATGAGCCGCTCCAGGACGCACTCGTCAACCCTCAACTCGGCTCTCAGCGTCCCGGAGATGGAGGTGGTTTGTCGACACAGCGGACAGACGATAGGTCCCTGGGGTCGTGAGAGGGTCAGAAGGCAGGACTCGCAGAAGCTGTGTCTGCAGTGGAGCTCCCGGGGACACCGGCGACCTGTGTTGTAGGTCCGGTAACAAATCCCGCACTCCTGCTCGGTACACATGTTGCTTTCTGACCTGGTGATTCAGATTGGAATTAGACAAGAGGTGAGCTATCCAGACTTTATACCTCAGGGTGTGGGGAAGTGCGTGGGAGGAGACTACGAACTATAAGGTTTTGGGCCAAATAAAACGTGTGAGTCATAAAGCTCCAAGTGATTGAAACCAAAACAACACAACACACCATTGTGTATGAGTCATAAAGCATGTAGTCCTATTTTGTTGTTTTTTAAATAATATTTCCACTAGAACGTGTTGAAACACACTACTCGAAATAAAAATAAACAAGTGATTCACAAACCAAACCCATTTCAGGTAATAATGAGAGTAATACATAGCGTTGTGATTTAAAAGAGCACTCGAAACCAACGCAGGACTCAATAAAACAGGATTAAAATAATACAAAATAATTAAATAAAATATGGAATATACAATTAAATAAATAAACAATATTTTAAATATTTCCTGTATCAGAAACAGCAGGAATATAATGCTTACGAAGTCCAATTGTCTTAAAAATAATCTTGATTTTAACACAAATGTTACAACTTTCACAGTGTTTAACATACCTTGATCACATAAGACAAAAGAAAGCTCCTGTTCATTCAAAATAAAATAGACAAAACACAAACCATGTCCTCTTTCCAGTCTTACTCTGCCACTTCCCCTGTCTGGTCATCACATCCTTACTACAGTTGATCCATAAATAATATCTTCCACATACACAGTTAAACAATGAATGACCCTGAGCCAGGAGAGATCAAGCTGACCTAAGACGTAACCAAATACGTTAAAGATTAATCACTGTTTGTTGGATTTGGAATCATTCATTGGAAGGCCCTATATGGTCATAGCGTTTTTTTAAAATTTAAATCCAGTAAAATATGGGAAGGATATCCCTTCTTAATACTCCCTCTCCTTTATCAAACTTGAATTCAAGTGCTAACCTTGTACTCCCCACTGATACCGAAGGGTGTGTGTGTGTGTGTGTGTGTGTGTGTGTGTGTGTGTGTGTGTGTGTGTGTGTGTGTGTGTGTGTGTGTGTGTGTGTGACGTCAGCCAGACGTCACTATGGTAATCCCCAAACAGCCCTCGTCATCCTATCAGTTGTTTCAGCATGAATTCCTTTCATGGTCATTTCCGCTGAAAACTTGGCAGACAATCATAGGTTCTCTCTGTGTGTGTGTGTGTGTGTGTGTGTGTGTGTGTGTGTGTGTGTGTGTGTGTGTGTGTGTGTGTGTGTGTGTGTGTGTGTGTGTGTGTGTATGTGTGTGTTTTTTAAAACCTATCCTTTGTGATTTCCTTAAGCCTTCCCGCTTTTTGCCTCCAGCATCGAATTTACAGTAAAAGGTGCTTCTTCTTTTTTTAAACCTGAATGACTGTAAAAAAAAGAGAAGACTGTGAATTATCTATGTCTAACCTGTCCTACAACATTAAATCCCGCAATACTGATTTTTTGTGATAGCAACAACATAAGAGGGAGCTTTTAGATTTCTGTATACTGTTTGTGTCTTGTAGAGTGAGACACTTAGTTGGAAGATTGGAGCAATGTGGGAAAAACAAATCTAGACTTTGATATTGATCATAAAGACTTTATTGACTGCAGTTGTAATTGTTGCAATTTTTCCTAGTGGTGCTTTTTTATGATTCTGTGTGTGAGTTTACAAATCTGACTGTTAGTCTGGTAGAGGATATGAAAACAAGTTAACCCATTCTTTAAATATGCCCGTTTTTAAGTGAAGTGACAGTGATTTTATTAGCTAATCCAATAGTTTTGTAAATGATTAAGGAATACGGTAAATGTTTCAAACTAAATGAAAGCCCAATCTTTAAAAAAAATCTGATTATAGACTATGTTTTGATCTGAGTCAGATTGGTATAGCAGAGTTGGCGTAAAGGCACATTCTGTAGAGGACAAGCCTATATAATCAATGAGGGTGAAACAGAAACATTACTATGGGTGATGACTACTTTATCAATCCGTAATTAATCTGTTTACTCAATGTTCTGAACATTAACTGTCACTTATTGACATTTACACATTTTTAGTATAGACATGATCCACTAGAATGTGAGATGACTTTAAGTAAAGTAGGAAAACTGTACATTGTTAATAATTACACCCTTAGCCACACACTACTATTTTAAAAGTGCTTCATGCTGACTGTGTGGAATCATAATAACATCATATGGAAGTAGACTGGGAATCTGTCATTTTCTATCTCGTGTGTCTTAGTTACCCTCACATCACCAAGGGTTTAATTACTGCCGAGCAAACCGCAGAGACGCCTCATGAGAGAGGAGGACGAGTAAAATCAGGTGAAACGGAGGGAGAACAGAAGGCTGCCAGTAAGCCGAGCTTCATCCACATAGCTACAGGATATCAAGATTGAAACTTGTTAATGTGCACACAATACAGGGAGGAAGACACTGCCAGGATGAGATCTGTACCAACATGAGGAGAATTGTGCGAGGGGAAGTTCCGGGCATCAAAGTGTCCTCTGATCAAAGGGCTGTGCGGTGGGTAAGTCATTCTGTTATCTGCTTCTTAGGTGTGAGGATGAATCGCTGCCAGTGGCTCTCAATATCATCTCGATGAACCTGCTGGCCTAGATATAAGGGGGCTTATTTATTTAACACTTTCCTGTCACAACTTGTTTGTCATATAAATGCTTCTTGTTGCTGTTTATTGTATTTTAACATCCATTCTGTTTCTGGTTCTAATGTGTTTTCAAATGCGTTGCCATGGAGCAATTCACAGGAGACCACATCTGCTAAGCAACAATCCGTGCGTAGTAGTTGTCCCATGTGAGCAATAAATGAAAAAGGGCGTCAGCAAAGCAAGAGTGTACATGTAACCAACAAGATCCTGTACGAGGGAATACCAAGGGTGAGCGAGAAAATTGCAGCCAGGAGAATGAGACTAGCAGGACATTGCCAAAGGCATCAAGAGCCGCCAGCCGGCAAATTGGTGCTGTGGGAACCAACACACGGGCATCGGTCACGAGGGCGTCCCGCACAAACATACGTGGACGTACTCAAGAATGACGTAGGAGCACAAAGTACCAATGAACTGGCCAGATGTATGGAGAACCGGGATGACTGGAAGCAACGATGGAGGGCTCGTCTGAGGACGACCTAGAGAGAAAGCAAGTTCGTAAGAAGCCATCAGCAAGTTGGCTCAGAATAAATACTAAAAACAAGTGGGGAATAACGACATGTCTACGTATTGACATACATTTAACTTTTGGTAGTCAAGCAGAGCCAAGCTAGCATTCCCCTTCATCTCCAGTCTTTACGCTAAGCTAACTGGTTGCTAACTGTAGCCTTCCATTGAAATGAGTGGTGCCAATCCTGACCTGTGAAGAAAGCGAAAAGGCGTATCATATGACAAAAATATGAAACTATTCTTTGGACATTGACATATTTGACTCACACAACATCTTAACATCAGTAGTTTTAATGTGTTACAATTTCAACAACTTGTTATTGGACTTCCATGAGTTAGTTAAATCTGGTCAAAATCATATCAGTTGAATTCTCATATAAAGGTCATGGTACTAAAATGTTGGCTCCTACATTTCCCATGATGCCACTCAAACGTGTGTTTTGTTGAACCCTCCCTGCATGATTGCTCTTTTAAACTTCATGCTAACACAAACCGACTCATAACAAGTCAAAGCTGGTAAATTACACCACCAGGGTTTTATTTTTTCAAAATCAGTTGAGTGCCCCTTTAAATGACTGAACAAAAACATGGAGAAAAGTGGACGTGCACACAAACACATGGACACATGCAGAAAGCATCATTACATTGACTTATTACTTCCTTTCTCAGCTCTAATTTTTCCTTTGCTTGTTTTTTATTTCCCTACTTCCTGCACATACTCAGTGTGCACACACTTCATGGATGATTGCGAGTATGTGTGGGGGGGATGGGTAGATGGTTTAGTGGTTAAATGGATGAACGATATGACTCATGGGCTGTGGAATCTGTTAATAAAACCAAGAAGACACAAAGTGATATCCCAGGGAGAGCAGATCCTGGCATTTAAAAGTCACGTAGGCCTCTGGTGTGCTCTTAGTTCAACTTGTTTTCTCTTTTCAGATTTTTACCAAAGATTGATCCACTTCTCGCCATAACTGAGCACTAGCTACCTCCAGCATGGCTGAGAATGTTGTCCCCGGTCCCCAGCTAGGGGACCCAGCTGCTGCAGCACCCAGCCTCAGCAGCACCCCTGGGGACCCGATGGATGTGGAGTGTCCCATCTGCTACCAGGAGTACAACCAGTACAATAAGAGTCCCCGGATGCTGGAGTGCACGCATGTTTTCTGCACCGAGTGCCTCCAGAGGATCCAGCTCTGCCCCAGCGAGCCCTCCAACCCCAGCAGCCCGTCAGCCCTCCCCTGCCCCCTGTGCCGCCACCTCACCCCTCTCACCTCCGGGGACGCCCTCTCCTTACCCTGCAACTCCCGCATCCTGTCCAGACTCCCCCCCGCCACCTACTGCCTGGCTACACACCTGGCCACCATCACCCAGAGAGTGGTGCTGTCCCTGGAGGGCGAAAGCAGGGACACTCGCTTCATCATCCTGCCCACCGTCAGCCTGCGGGTGCAGCAGATGCACCCGGAGAGGCCGTACGGGATGGCGCCGGGCATTGTGCATGGGGAACAGGAAGTCTTAGAGCAGAGCAAGAGGACACTGTTCTGTGTGCAGCTGCTGGCCGTCACCTTCTGGGTGCTGTTTGTGATCACGTGCGTGGTCGGGGTGGTGTTTGGGCCACATTTCATTAACAGGAATCATTAGTAGGAAGCTCTTCTTTTAGCTAGTGATATTAGATTATGATATGAAGCACTGTATAAAGTAAATGAATTTGAAAAGAATATTAAACACAAACTTCGTTGAACATAAGTTTGACCACTATTGTTGGTATCTACCCTGTTGATCTGGGACCAATTTATATTCAAATGTTGTTTATAAAATACCACCATTTACACCAATTCTGACTCATGTACTGAATATGTGTTGCCCTTTCATTATTGATAGACTGATCAAGAGTTCCCTCTAGTGGTTCATTTGGTGATGTATGAGATGAGATCACAACTTTAGATAAAAGGATCAAAACTAAGTGTTTTTTTCTCTGTGCCTGTTTAGGCCATTATGAAGTGCATAGCTGTCCTGCTAATGCGGAGATTTCAATAAAGCTGATTTACATACACATTGGGTCTCTCTTTTTCCTTTTTCTGGTACAAAGAAAGATATACACATACCATTTTTTTTTATCCTGACTTTGACTGTTAATGAACGTTTTATTTTTCAAATGATTTTTTAAAAAACGAAGTTATAGTGGGCTATTGTTGACACAAAGTATGTCAGTACCAGATTTAAATCCGAGCAAATGTTGTGGCATATTCTATCAAACTAAATATAGTCTTTGGCACAAATGGGACTAACCCCACTTCTACCAGCTGCAACACGGAAGTGATGCATCAATAATATTTTCTCCACTGATATAATAATGATGTATAGATAGATGTATAGATATAGATAGATGTATAGATAGATAGATAGATAGATAGATAGATAGATAGATAGATAGATAGATAGATAGATAGATGTATAGATAGATAGATAGATAGATAGATAGATGATATAGATAGATAGATAGATAGATAGATAGATAGATAGATAGATAGATAGATAGATAGATAGATGTATATATAGATGTATAGATAGATAGATGTATAGATAGATGGATAGATAGATAGATAGATAGATAGATGAATAGATGGATAGATAAATACTTTATTCATCCCCAATTGGGAAAGTATTTGGTCACAGCAGCAGTCTTGTCAAGCATGAGTTAAAATATTTAAAAGATAGAATAAGATACATATATAATACAAATAAAAATTAACAACAAATATATAAAAATGTACAGTAGAAAATACATTTATCACTAAAGTATCTAAATTATAGACAATACAAAGAAAATACCAAATACATTTGAATACTCACACTTTCACTAGGCAACATAATTAAACATTAGATTATATATAGATTAAGCTTAAAGATAAAATCAATTAAAAATAGAACCTTTATTAATGCACGTAGGGAAGGTCATGTGTCATAACAGCAACATAATACAAAAAGAAACACAGATAGTAGTACACCTAAAAAGAATAAAAGTCAAATAAAAAATACAATGAAATAAGAATAAACATGTATTAACAGTATTAATATGCAAATAATGTGAGTTTAAATACGAGTTAAAGTGTATTTTCTTACTTGTAAAAGGACATTATTATGGTTTTATTTCTAAAATAACAAAAATGCTGGTGGTGGTGAAGGGTGGTTGGGAGCGTACGTAAATCAAAGGGGGCTACGTAATGACGTCACACGCCGCGTTGGCTCGCAAAAAGTGGTAAAAAGTTTTTTAGACCCCCTCCCCTGTGTGTTTTTGTTGGGGGAAAAGTTGTTGGTAGTTAGGTCGTGTGAATGTAGCGTTTCCCCGTCGGTTTTTCACCCCTCGGTAACAATGCGGGGGAATGCGCACAGTTTTCTACTACTTTAAAGTCGGACCGCGAGTTTGTGAGCAGGGTTACAGACGCATTACGTCCTCCGGCTCGGACTGAAAAATCTCAGTGGCCATCATCGTTTCACCTCTGCCGTCTCGTTAGCCACCTAGCTGCTAACTAACTCCCCAACAAAGTTAACCTCGCCTCATAGTGTTTGCTTCTCCCGTGGCAACTTCCAGCAGAGATGGCGGAAACCAAAATAATTTATCACATCGACGAAGAGGAGACGCCGTACTTGGTGAAGATACCCATTGCTGCCGAAAATATAACTTTGCTGGATTTTAAACAGGTCTTGAACAAGCCAAACTACAAATTCTTCTTCAAGTCTATGGACCAGGACTTCGGGTGAGCTGCTGGGTTTTCTTTTTTTAATCCTTTAGCAGGGAAGAGCTTTGTGGTTTCCCTGCAACAGTAGGAGTGATAAACAGCTGGTAGTAGGAGTACACATATTTAAATGCAGAGGTGGAAGAAGTACTCAGGTCCTAGTAAAAGTACCAGAGTGTAGGAATGTTACAAGTAGAAGTCCAGCATTCAAAATGTTAACCAAGTCAAAGTGCAGAAGTATTAGCATCAACATCTACTTAAAGCACCATAAACAGATTCCAAAATAATATATATTATAATTTGTGATGCATTAAAGTGTTTTAATGACTTTGTATACTTCAGGGTAAATTGTGAATTTCAAACCAGGTGTAACTAAAGTCATTTTTAAGTGTTGTATATACCACATTATTAATGAAAATCTGCAAAGTAACTAAATATATGACATAAAAGTAGTGGAATAAAAGTACATGATTTAACTCAGGACTCTAGTTGAGTAGAAGTAGCAAAACAATGAAATGCACAAACTCTTGCAAAAGTACCTCAAAATTGTCCTTAACTGCAGTACTTAAGTAAATGTACTTAGTTACTTTACACCACTGTTTAAATGCCGTGACAAAAGTTGTACACGTTGTATAACAGCCATTATTTTCTTAGTGGGGGAGCGTTAACTTGGCGTAAGTAAACACTTAACATTCTTGTCTAATTAAAAAAACAAAACCTTACAGGAATGCATGCATGTCAGAAAAGTCATGCGGTCCTATCTTGTGACCGGCTGTCGTGTATTTGTCAAACGGGGTGAAAACGTATGGTGAAAGGATAATACACTTGAATGAAGCAGGTCGCCATTGAACCTCTCCTAATCAGTAAAAAGTTACAACGACTAGTGATGCATTTCCAAGTGCTTCTATAAATACTGAGTGTCTGTAGGCTGGGGACATTTCTCAGGAAACATCATCATTACAATGAGAGGCATTCCCTGTCCCTGCTGCTTTTCTTTGCCCTAATCCTCATCCCTCCCACCCCCCTTCAGTCCATCATCTTGTGAAATCCTTGGCCTTTTCATTCTTTCGGGACTGAGGCCAGGGTTTTGTCTCCCCTCTTTAACACTTTGGCCTGCCAGCCATCCTTTCATTCCCTGGCTTCCTCCCAATCCACTCCTTCAGAAAGAGCCGTCTCCTCTCCTCTATCAATTCATCTTTTTTTTTTTACTTTCTGTGTAGCTGCTGTGCACAGGAATGCTTGTTTGCGGTTTATTCACCCAGTGAGACCCGTAGGGCTTCTGTTAAACGCATTGTAGTCTTGGATGAGTTTTAAAGCTGGGCTATTTGCCTCTTCTGCCCTTTGGATGGCAACACTGGAGCCGGGGGCCAAAGAGCTTCACTATCAGCTCAAACACAACGAGATGAGATGAGATGGCTTTTCTTTGGGGCTTGACAGAGCTGGCATCATTTGAATATTAATACCAACAACACCAGTTACTGACATGTAAAGATGTTCCTTTCCTGTGGTGAGAGGCGTTTTTACAATACTCAATGCCTGGCTGAAATGATTTAGAAATGTCAGTACATTGCTTTTTACCATATTTGTAGTTTGAAAGCTCAGTTATTCACTTTTTTTTTTATAGCAAAAATACACAGTAAATAATGACAATATTCACTTTTAGGCCTCGTTAGACTATATTGAATTATTATCAAGTCAACTTTTAACAAAACTACTTGTGTAGAAGAACGAAATTGAGTGCATGTCCACTGTGTTTCCACAGCAATATTATTTTTGGCATTTATTTTCTCTCCCAGGTGATCATCGATCATTTCCTTTATTATCTTTTTATCAAAAGACATACTAGAGAACGGTCCACCTCATGTTCCCAGAGCTCAAAGTGTTTTTCAGCCAACAATTCAAAACTGAAATATATAATTTGTACCTACAATGTTACAAACCAGAGAAAAGCAACAACCTTTCACACGTGGAAGTCAGAACCAGGGGTTGGGTTTTTGCCAGAAAGGGATTTATAGTATACCATAAATGGATTATCCAAATTACAGCAGATTGTTGCAGAACTGTTGTTTTAATATACTTGCAAATGTGAGTGTACACCTAAAGAACTATTACTGTCATTTGTACTATTTAATGGACACAGTTAAAACTTCAGAAAGCACATTTTTTACATCCCAGTAGTCTTCATTCATTCATTTATTTTTGCCTCACTAAATCAAGAGTGTGATTTGCAAGTTAGTAGTCAAATGAAGAGCTTGTCCAGTACACAGACATGACATTGTGTCATCATATTCCTGCTTGTAGGTGTTTTCCAAAAGCATAAAATCCTCATCTTTAAAAAAGCCCTCCCACACCAAACTCCCAGCAGAGTTTTTTTCAGAGAGTATGGCAGAATAACTCATTTTCTAAAAGTTAACTCAGCATCACCGTTTAATTTGAATACCTCCAACAGACTTTTCAAACATAGCTCTGAGTCAGCTGTCCAATCAAAGCAGGGACGTGTTTCCCCCCTTCTCCACACCAGGAGAGGAGTGTGTAATATAGTGTGTGTTTTCATTTGCCCTGGTACGAGGCCAGCTGTCGAGCCGAGCTGTGTGTGTGGCGGTGGGGTGTGTGTGTATGTGTGTGTGTGTGGGGGGGGGGGTCAGGTCAGGGCCGGAGCTGCGATCCTGGGGGCCGGACAGAGACCATTTGCCGGGTGTCTGGGGTGTCCGCGGGGAGAAGAAAGGGGAGACAGAGCGGGATTGTGTTCGCTCGGGGTTATTAGATATTCTCCGTCTGCTGGTGTGGAGGATCAGGAAGCGGTATAAGTAAGATTGATTGTTAGAAAGGCAATGGTGAGTTGGATGCAGGAATTTGATATCAGCAAGGGACTGGAAAGTGAGGAAGTGGGGGTGAAAACTTCAGGCCGTGTTAAATCTAACAGGAATAGGCATTAGGGCTACTCAATTTGTTGAAATGTAATCAAAATGGCAATGTTGAATGTGAAATATAATCGCAGGAAGTATACTTAAAGGCAGTGTTTCCGCCAGACCAGGGCTGAGAGGGCGTCCACCCCGAGAGCAGGGGGGGGTTGAATTTTGACTTGAGCCGTCCCTTATAGATACTGTCTTTTTACGTTAGTGAGTCGG